TAGTTTGACATTTTTCAAAGGACCATTTATTTTTCCAATTATATATATGTGTGTATATATATACTGTACGTATGTATGTATGTGTATACACCTTAGTATATATGTAGTTATGTATGTTTGTGTATGTATAATGTATGAAGGTATTTAGGTAATAGATCACATAAAGCAAAAAAGAAATATATTTTTTTATATTTAACTAACATTCCTTGCCTTTCATTTCAATATCATTACATTGTTATTCATATTTAAATACATATGTATGTAGTGTGTGCATATTTTTACACATTTGTATATTTAATATTGTATGCTAAGGATAATGCTTTACATAAAAATATTAATATTATAATCGTGATTAGTTATTGTATTGTTGATATTTTGTTTGCTTTGTATAGTACAATATATTGACAATTATTACTATAATAATTTTACATAGTATACATATATGTTTTACGAACAAAACACAGCAGTCTTATATAAGATGAAATATTTTTTCTTCAATGTTTTCACTTTTTATTGTTTTTTTTTCTTTTATTTATTTTTATTTTTTTTAATTTTTATTTCATTTAAAATTTTTTTACGGTGTAATTTTTTTTAAATATTTTTTACAATTACATATATACATACATATGTATGTATGTATGTACATATGTATTTACATATATGAATAAAACTGAACTAAGTTTTTTTAATTGTTAGTCCTACTTGGGTTGGTGGTTAAGAGATAGCAATTTCAGTGTATATTTTATATACCGCTTGTTAAAATCAAATGAAGAGTGTTCTTCAAATTAAAAGAAAATTACATAGAATTGAGAATCCCAGAAGATAATTAAGGTAGGCCTTCTTAAAGCATATTCACATCATCGTAATTTACGGCTCATTTGTAATTTATAAGCAAATCATGCTGAAATCAAGTAATTTCGCTTTGTAAAATCTGTCAATAAATTAACCGCCCTATTCTGTGTTTTCTTTATATATATTTTTTGTAAAGAAATTTTATCAAATTTCAATTTGTCAAAGGCATTTTAAAACTTGTTAATTTGTCAAGAAAATAACTTTTATTTCTGTGCTAGAATACAAATTCTTGATGAATAATAAAAAATTGACAAATTATAAAGATTTTCAATTTATCAAGTGCATAGAATCGGGCTGTAAATAGAAATGAAATAATTTATCATAAATCAAGAAGCAATTGAAGGAAAAACGGTCATTCATTTATTTTAACCTCCACTGTTGAAGAAATTTGAAAACATACCTTAAGGTATGCTACCATTTGTTTTTTGAAATCAAGTACAAACTACACACTCGTACGTACACGTGCTATAGACATTTTGAATGAAAATGTGAACTTACTTGATTTAGGTGAAGTAATTTGACCAAATCAAAGTAATTTATGCTGTAATGTGAATATAGTTTAAGTGAAGCGATTCTAAAAGTTTGCCCACGAAAAAAGTGCTTCCTTGCAAGCCTTATTGAAGGGTTTTTTTTTATTTACAATTTACGCGAATGTGGAAGTTAATATTATTTATCATTACTAATGAATTTAACATATTCATTTTAAGTTGCAATAAAACATATTTAATAAATTTAAATAAATACCTCAAAGTATGATTTTTTATGAATTAAAGAAGCAGCTTTGAAGGAACTCCTCGAAAGTGCCTTCTATGGGTAGCAAAAGCAGAAGACCTTCACTTTGTGCCACTCCATACACAAAAGAAAGGAGAAAGAAACGCAGAGTGGAGGGCCTCGCGACACTCAAGAAATCCTTTTGCAAGGGTTTTTAGCTCCTGAAACTATCTGCTGGGATTGCAAACGGGAGTTGGTTTAGGTAACGATTTAATAAATTCTACTTTCGACAGCAGAAACATCAAATGCACATATTTTCTAAAACCAAATAAGATAAAGAAATCGTTACAACAAAACTAATGTCAAGCTTTTTTTAATCGCTCTATTCGGCCATATTATGAGTTCCATGTGGACAAATATTGCCAAAAATTATAAAGCAAAACAAAAAAAGTTTCCCAATTTGTTTTTGTTTTGCCTGTTAAACTATGGTAACGATTTATTCACATGGGGTTGGCGATTAGGCTGATTATTAGATACAAATATTACAAACCTTTTGAATTAGGTTTTTTTTTTAGAGCTTTATGCTTTATGTATTCATATGTATGTATTTTTACGTAGTACAATAATTGGAACCTTGAACACACTCATACTAGTAGGCATAGAAAAGCGATATTCTTTAGCTGTATGGGTTAAGACTTTATTTCACAATTCAATTATTATTTATTTTTTATTTTTTGATAATCATACTTTCTATGTAAACCATTTTATTATTTTTAACATTCAATTTTAACTTCTTAATACACGCACAAAAGTGAACAGAGCGTATAACTTCTTAATGAATTGTACATAGACGCATTGTAAAGGCGACGACCATTAACAAAAATCATGAAAAGAAAACGCCGTGCTCCTTACCAAGTAGGCATTCGCTTGTTTATTTTTATTTCTTACTTCAAGGGTTTCTTTTAAAGAAAAAATACATAGTTACTAGATACATACATATTTTATTAATTTCAATCATTTGACATCATATCTTCAAACTAATCGGCAAATTAACGCACCTAATATTTCACTATTTACCAACTACGCTAACCATTATGTACAAAAATAATTATAAATACGATTTTTAAACCATAAATTAGTTATAATTTGCCTATAAGAATAGTGACTAGTTAAAGAGAATAAACAAATTTTCATATGCATACGTAGCATATACAAATAGCGTTACATTTTGCTACAGAAAAAGTTAAAATCAAATGATTTGACAGGCTAAAAAGGGCTGTTTTAACAGTGTAGAGTGTAATCATATTCAGAAGTTAATTGTTGATTAACTCCCGAATATGAGACAACTCTCTACTGTGAAAATGGCCATAAACTATTGTATTTAAGAGCGAGTGTGTTAAGAGACAGTAGTAAGACTGAGAGGTAAGGATATGAAAAACTGGCGGCAGCTAGTTCGCGTGGAAAGAAATGCAAATTTGGCCTTAAAGCTTACTTTTACATACATTTGCATGTGTGTATGTAATTTTTTTTTATCGAGATTTTTAGTATAAATAATTTTCCTAATTTTTATTACAAGTGCCTTTGCGTAACATTACGAATGCTATTATATTTTTTTTTTATACATACATATATATTCATGTAAATGGGTAAGTATGAGTTTAGGATAATGCTTGTATTCCTTTGAGATAGTTTTTGGTACAGCGAGTTTTGTTAGTTACGATAATTTTTATTTTTTATTTTTTTTTTTATATACCTTATTAGCTTTTGGTAGAGACTTATTTAAGTGCATCGAGTACGCAGCCAAAGGCAATGAAATCAATGTGCACTGCCAATACTTAGTCTGATAACCCAAATTCAATTACGAAATTATTTCGAAAATTCATGCTTGCTCGATTACATACATATGTCCATGTATCGCTAGCTTAGAGTGAAAAGTTGCTAAGTCCCAATTTAAAAATTTTACAGGAGGAAAAAAATTTGTATGGCCATTTTCTTCAAGTACTATTTCGCAAAACTTTGAATACAACATTTTTCCTTTTTAAAGCAAAGCAAAACTCCATACAAATCAGAGGGATTCGATCTTTATTAAAAGATTTCGTTCTATTTTGGCCTCATGGAATTATCGGAGCTTCTTTTGGACTTAGCAAATTGTCCTTTCATTGAATATAAACGAAAAAACATAAAACAAGTATGGATCATACTCCTTTTCGAAACGTTGTATTTTTATTTAAAACATGAGTTTTCATAAAAAGTGGACTTAGCAACTTTTAACTCAGCTAGCGACATGAAATTCTTAAATTTGCACTCGCTGTAAATATTGTATAAAAGTATTTTAAAATACTTTTCCCTCCCAAAAAGATTCAAAAAGTTTACGCTGCAAATACAAACAGCAAAATACAAAAGAGTAATTTTGTTGATAAATTTAGGCATTTATAGGCAGTATGTTTTACCCCAGCTGACCAACACACGAGCCTTTAGCGAGTCTGGCTAAATGTCCGCACACAAGGTCGCATGTGAGCAGAAAACCGTGAAAACTTTTTTGATTGTAAAACCCGGCGCAGGCGGTATGATTTGCGAACATTTGGTCTGCTGAGACATTGGATACCAAAAATTAAAGACAGTTTAGTTTTGTATAAGAATGTAAAAGTCATTCCGTTATGTTAGTTGCTGATAGTACACATACTTAAGAATTTGTTTTCGCTATTATACTTAATTATACTACATGCACAGGTTAAAAAAGGACGATTCTGTAACGATTGTTGCAATGGAATTATTAGTCGCCTAAAAGTAATTACAGAAACCAAACGTTTGACAAAAGTCTCGCCACAGAAAAATAAACAAAGTTTTGATTTATAAATCGTATTATTTTCATATTGCAGTTTCTGTATTACATCAGAGGCCTTGCGGCCCCTTTTTTTATTTAAATCCAATTATGTAAATAAATGTTTGACAAAATCTCGTATTTAAAGCAAAAAATGTGTACAATGAATTCAATGCGATGAAATTACGAAAAAGAATAATCGTGAAATATGATTTAAATTTAAACAAAAAGCTTTAACTAATACAAAAAATATGCAGATTATCGTATAGCTCAAAACGACACTGAAAAATATTAAGCTTTACCTCGCAATTATGAGGAGTGTCATAGCATCTCAACTAACCGCCCAATTTGCACCCACCATTTATCTTCAGCTTTTACCCCAGCCTTCAATTCTCTCTCGTGCATTGTTGTTTATTTAATTATTATACTTTTTGAATTTAATTTCTTTGTTTGTTGCACTCGCCGCTTTGCCTTTCTGTAGTCTTCGTCATCTTCGTCACAGCCAAATATTTACCGTATTATTTATATATATAGGAGATACATATATAAATACGTGGATATTGCACGCAGCTCCGCAACTTCACCACTTCGAAGCTGGTCGTCTCATTGAAAGCGTTCAATTTATTGTCTTCTGATAAATCGTGTTCTTATTATAGTTTTCACTTAATTGCTGTTGTATGGAACACAAGTCATCGATACCGACAGTAGCGTTGGCTGTTGAGTCGCTGCTAGAGTGATTGCCCATCAAATTATCGGTACCAGCTTCATTAGCGACCGCATTGGCATTGTTGCCATTATTGTTGTTACTGTCATTGGTAGTAGCATTGCAATTGTCAGACGATTGTTTATTGTTGCTACTACCATTGATATTATTATTTGATTTGTGGGCGCTACTATGGTTGGCACGCAGGTTTGCCAAAAATTTCTCTTTGAAAGTATTCGCCGAGTACTTGTGTTCGATGAATGTGGGTGAAATGATGGGCGGGTGGTTGAATATAGGCGGATTAGTATAGTTATTGCCGCCACTTGAAGTATTCAATGAAGTGCCATTGACGCTGACAGCCACGGTAGAAACAGGAGGAACACCGATAACTGCAGCAGGAGGGCGATTGTTGGTCGCTGCTAGTACTGCATTGGTATGAGAATAGATGCTGATGTTGGCGTTGGCGATTGACGAAGCTGCAGTGAGCAGATGCCCGTTCAAGGGCATGCAGGCGGTAGTTGTTGCATTTATTTGTTCTGGAAACAACAAAAGAGAGCAGAAAAAGAAAAGAAATAAAAGTGAACCAAAACAAAACGGAAATAGGAAAAGGATAGACATAAACTTAAAAGAATTCTAATTGTAAAAGAATTTTATAGTAAATCAATTTGTAGAATATTATATTTAACTATAAAAGGAAGTGTTAAATGCTTCTACCGTTTCATAACTTGATTTGACATATTAAACTTAAAACTTTTTTATCGATAAATCTTGGATGAAACTGTAAATATTATCACAGTACTTGTCTTTGACTGAGATTGATTTTCAGTCAGATACTATCACGTCAGGAGTATTTTTTTCAAAATTCTAATACTGTTACAAATAACTGGGAGCTGATTTTGGAGTTGATCAATTGATGCACTGTTTTTTATACCACATGTCAGTGAGCGTATTTTCACTGAAAACATAAACCGAGGAATCAGGAATATGCAATGAAAACAAGCGCCAAAAGCATTTCACCATTATTAATACAATAAAGAAGTTTCATAAAATATATTTTTTAATTAATAAAAAAATAAATGAGGTAGTAGTCGAATAAGTAAATTAAAATATATTTATTCAAAATGAATAAGTTTATGCAGTTTAAATTTCCCCTACTCGTGATATTTAACGAAAATGGAAAAAAGTGAATTTGTACTGATTGAGCATAATTTTTTCCGTAAAAAAAAAAACCATCATCGAAACCAAGGAAAGGCTTGATAAATACTATGGGGAGTTTGCACCTTCAATATAAATGGTTAAACATTGATTTACTGAGTTCCGTTGTGGTGGTACCAGCTCAAGTGGCGCCGAACGTTAAGGTCGCCCAAAAGAGATCGTCGCGCCAGAAACCATCGATGAAATCCATGAAATAATATTGGACGATCGGAGAGTGCAGGTGCATGCATGTATGAGGTGGCTTAGGCTGTAAGCATCTCAACTGAGCGGTTACATCACATATTACACGTATATTTAGATATGAAAAAAACAATCCGCGCGATAGGTGCCGCAATCGCTCACACTCGACCATAAACGCAACTGTGTGAGAAGTACTTGGCGCTGTTCAGGTGCGATACGAACGAGGTTTTGTACCGTTTTGATCGTCAATCAACAGTGGATTTCTCCGGGTGAACGTGCTCACAGTTTGTTGGAATATACGCGGCGTCATTTACATCGATAACCTTGAAAAGGATAAAAGGGATCACCGGGCGAATACTACTCGGAGCTTTTGCGCAGATTCAGTATTGACTTGAAGCAGAAACGACAGCATTTGGCGAAGAAAAAACTACTGTTAGATCAAGACAATGCACGGGTGCACAAGTGTGTAGTCACCATGTAAAAAATTCATAAATTGGGCTACGAACTGTTTCCCAACCTGAAAAAAATGTCTGGACGGTAAGAGATTTGGATCGAATGAAGAGCTCATCACTGAATCAAAACGCTTAATTTGAGGGCCTTCATATTGACGGATTAAAAAAAAAATTAAAAACGGTGAAATAAAACGATTTTTCGCCGCAATATATATATTTTTTATTCAAAAAACCACAGACTATTCAAATACGGTTAATATTAAAAAAAAAAATATCGACATTCACTGAACATAGAGTTCGATCAGGTGGGCGTTCAACATCTAAAAATACTTTTTTTTTTTTCAATAGCAAACGAATGTATATTTTTCATACACGCGAGGCTGCCGCGAACGGCGTAATCGACTCGTCGACATTGCAGTCGAGGGTGTCAACGGCAGATAATTTTGAGGTGGTATCGGGCATAAACTTAACGAGAGGGAAACGTTTAAAAAAGAAAATGAGGCGAAAGATAGTTTTTTGAAATATAAAGCAAAAAACATTGACAGAAGTGTTAATATAAGTGGAGCCTCTGAGGTTAGAAAAAAAAACCGTAAAAGCACATGAGAAAAACATGGATAATGAGGAAAGTACCGTCAATAAAATGGCAGAAGAGTAAGTGAGACAATGGATAGCGCGACAGTTAACGGTACAAATAAAAGTACAGCAGCACATTGAACAGTGACGGACAGAGTTGTATAGACACCCACAAAATATTCTTGGTGATGTCTTTGTTTTAATTGATGCAAGAAATTGCGAAGGATAACAGAACCAATAGTGGTAAATCACTATAAGATCAAATCAAAACCCTATAGATTTAAAGATATGGACCGAATTAACGGGTGATTTTTTAAGAGCTTGATACCTTTTTTTTTAAAAAAAAACGCATAAAATTTGCAAAATCTCATCGGTTCTTTATTTGAAACGTTAGATTGGTCCATGACATTTACTTTTTGAAGATAATTTCATTTAAATGTTGACCGCGGCTGCGTCTTAGGTGGTCCATTCGGAAAGTCCAATTTTGGGCAACTTTTTCGAGCATTTCGGCCGGAATAGCCCGAATTTCTTCGGAAATGTTGTCTTCCAAAGCTGGAATAGTTGCTGGCTTATTTCTGTAGACTTTAGACTTGACGTAGCCCCACAAAAAATAGTCTAAAGGCGTCAAATCGCATGATCTTGGTGGCCAACTTACCGGTCCATTTCTTGAGATGAATTGTTCTCCGAAGTTTTCCCTCAAAATGGCCATAGAATCGCGAGCTGTGTGGCATGTAGCGCCATCTTGTTGAAACCACATGTCAACCAAGTTCAGTTCTTCCATTTTTGGCAACAAAAAGTTTGTTAGCATCGAACGATAGCGATCGCCATTCACCGTAACGTTGCGTCCAACAGCATCTTTGAAAAAATACGGTCCAATGATTCCACCAGCGTACAAACCACACCAAACAGTGCATTTTTCGGGATGCATGGGCAGTTCTTGAACGGCTTCTGGTTGCTCTTCACTCCAAATGCGGCAATTTTGCTTATTTACGAAGCCATTCAACCAGAAATGAGCCTCATCGCTGAACAAAATTTGTCGATAAAAAAGCGGATTTTCTGCCAACTTTTTTTGGTAATAAAATTCAATGATTTGCAAGCGTTGCTCGTTAGTAAGTCTATTCATGATGAAATGTCAAAGCATACTGAGCATCTTTCTCTTTGACACCATGTCTGAAATCCCACGTGATCTGTCAAATACTAATGCATGAAAATCCTAACCTCAAAAAAATCACCCGTTACAAAGATAGACCATACCCTTTATAAAGTAGCATTAAATGCGCTTTTGTCGCAAACAATGTCTTGTTAAATGATCAACTGAAACAAACGGGTCTAAGAGCCTTCATTTCAAGGACGGCTTTTGAAACTTATGGTGTTATCAGGGGCGTTCATGTTGTCAGCATTTCTACATGGGTTAGTGTAAACCAACATGTTTACTGCTAGTATTAAGTCATGTTTGCTGTAAGCACTAATGTAAATAGCTCTTAAGTTTATACGAAATTAGTATTTAAGAGAAGGTCAGAGTCTGTTCAGACCATAAGGATTGTTCTTAGCAAATATAAGAGAAGTTGAGTTTTATTTGATACCACTAAAATCTGATAAATTACATCAGAAGTGGTCTGCAAAACCATTGCATAGATAAAAAATGGAAAGTAAAAACATAAGCGCTGAGAGTTATTCACTGTTGCAGCTGAAGACCTGGTGCACGGCCGTTGGCACAAGCCAATTTTAAGAACAATAACACAAATGATGGTGGGAATAACGGTGCAAACAACGACAGAATTTTAAGAAGCAACAATATTATTGACGACGACAACGATGGAGTGTGTTTTCGAAGCGGCATGGTTTGGTACGTAAGCGGCACTTTAGGGCGTCGTCCAGTAAGGCACGCCGAAGACAGCGATAGCGGGAGTTGTACTTAAGCAGAACAATTATCCGTTACCCGCTGAAAAAAGAAATGGAGCTCCTTAAGCGACAAAAGGCTCTGCTTGAAAAAGATAAGCAAATGGCGGGTACACACGAAGAAAGCTTGAACGCAGTCTTAGGTTCCAAAGTCGAATGTGGGTGCCGGAAGAAAATTTCACAAATTATTATAATGACAAGTTCGCCCTAAGAGCGGATTTGAACATAAGCTATGAAGAATTCGCCGACTACCTCGCTGAAGGAACTCCAGACAAGCAACTCCGGAATGAAGAAAGATCGCACAATTTTATGTTACCAAACGAATTTGTGAAAGCATTCTGCTCATATTACATTGCCGGAACGCACAGCATTAAAGCAACGCACCGATGAACGTCTAAGGTGCTACAAATTTAATTGTTCAGGCCACCATTCCAAAGACTGCAGAAAGCCAAAGAAGTATGACCAGTCGTAACAAATAACTAGGTAATATAGCGTAGAATCAGGAGAGTAAGCATTTTAATGTATATAGTACTTAGGCAATCATGTTTATTGCGATGGTCAGAGCCTGTTTAGACCATAAGGATTGCTCTTAGCAGACATACTCTGTCTACACCCTTTGGAGTGTGTTCAGTCAAAAATGCAATGCAATGTAGGTACATAAGGGCTATTCGCGATCCGGTGCAAATGGCCTAGCATCATTGCATTGCAAATTTGTATTGCAAATTATTTGCAATACACAAACAAAATACACGCATTTGCATTTGTCATGGCTTGGCAAATTTGCAATACCGAAAATCCATAGCATAAATATGCTATGCATTGCATTCATAAACAAAACCAAAGCTGATGCACAAAAAGTGTTTTGCAAAAGCTTTACCATGACAGTTTAATAAAGGTCGCTCACAATCCATGGCATATTTCTGCAATTGCATAAATTTGTCAGCTCTTATGCACCGAATCGCGAATAGCCCTATAGTTTTTTGTGTATACTAAACTAAAAGTAGAGTTCTATATTCCACCTCTTAGACAATGCCGTCTAGCTCATACACAATTTTCTTGTAAAAAAATGTGGGAACACTGAATGTGATGCAATGCAATGCCACCAAAAATGTATTTTTTGTTATAGCGCTGTTTATGTGTTATCCGATAGGAGAAGGAACAGGAAGTCAACCACATCAGGGTTGCCAAAAGGAGTTCAAGACGCGAAACTTTAAAAA